CTACCGAAGGAGGCTGAGATGATTAATGACAAATCTGTTATTAACAGTTTGCCAGCTACTTCTAGGGGTAAGTCCAGTTTTTTGAAGGCCTCTGTTTCGCCCATATTGCCGACACCGATATTTCCATGCTGAAAATTATTACTGCTGTGTGTAGCCGGGTGTAACTTGGGCTTGTGTGTGCCGTTGTCACCTCTAACTCCACAAAGCCGTAGAGTTCAGACTTGTGAGGTCTACCAATTTGAAAGTGGAAAACAGAATGGGAAGGCGAACGCACTCATATTCAGAAAAGAGGTGATAAAAGGTACCTCCACCACCGTGAGCATTTCAAAATGTCAGACCAAGGTAAATCTATGCGTTAAAACAAAACTTGTGTTTCTTTTTGACTACTAGTAAGGCCTATAAAATAGAACTGTTTTTCTCTAATGAAATGGCATAGAGCCACGTGTACTTGCAGAACGCGTGAACACTTTGTGTTAAATGCACACTCGCCAGTCCCACTTAACGACCCACTGTGCACGCCTCCTGTTTCCTGCCTGCACGCTTTGGGGCTTGCCAGCTAACCACGGCGCCTGTGAACGGAGGAAATGTGGGTGATTGACAAACTGGCGTACCTTGGGAATTGGGCGCAGTTTGTGCGTTCAAATCGAAAACCTCGTCGCACCCCATAGCACAGCCTCCCATCTTCTACTCCATCTGTTCGATAACGACTAGTCATTTCAGTGGCCACTTAACATTCTAATTTGGCGTGTCGTTTATTGTTGTGGTGAATGGTGCTCACCAACAGCGATGCTCTCCCCGTGTCGCCGGCACACTTTTTATTTTTCTTTCATAACTTTCTGACACATTTTTGCATACTTTCTGTTATTTGAAAAAAAAGATGGCCCAATTAAATCAAGGTTTTGTTGAATATGCAGTGAATGGGGTTGATTCACGTCCAGCACACGTCCCTCCTTTGCACGGCGTGCCCGTCAGTCACGTGAGGCCGCCGGTTCATTAACCCCGCTGCATGCACCACCACCACCGCCACCACCACCCGCTTTAGCCATGTGACCTCACGGACGCCTGTGTTACCTTTACACGTCCACTCAACTGTATCAGCACATGCACACAATTTGGTTGAGCTGTCTAGTAAACCGTCGTGCTTGCCATCTCTGGACTCATTTTCCTTCTGGGATACTTCGTATGGTAAAGGGCCTCAGCTTTAAACTTTTGGCTTGTAATATTTGTACCTAACCTTTGTTCTTATCCGTGATTTTTCTAATCGAATCAAATCATTGGTTTCTACACCACAAAAATTTCCTGCGACAAAGAATGCAAAGTGTTTAATGCTTTTCGGATAGACATTTTCGATGGCCTACGACGTAGCTGTGTTCACTTATGGAGCTAGTCGGAGCAAACCATGCGGCAATGCCTGATTTTGTTTAAAGAAATGGTAGGTCCCGGTTCGGATGCTTGCATTGGCACAGTGCGTTTCTACTCACTGTAAGCAACCAACGCGATGGTTTGCACAGCGGGTCTGAGTACGCACATTTGCATGGTTGTTGTTACGTTGTTCTACCTGATACCATGGCAACAAATTACCAAATGCCGCAGTCCGCACTGGGTGCTTCGAGCAATAGTTACTACTCGAATTTATTTTTACGACAATTTCAACCAGCCATTTTCGTCCTTTGTATTCACGTTAATCTGCTGATTTTTGACCAAAAGTGAGTCAGTTTATGATGAAAACATCGCATGGATGGAAACCAGAATGGGGCCTGTATTAGTGTCATAATATAGCAGAGGTTGCTTACCCATGGAAAAAATTAACCACTGTGATGTAAGTGATTCGTGAACTTTCCGTCAGTCCTCGTCAGCAGGCATTGCCCACGAAAGTGAGTTGCTTTGGACAGCATTCACAAGCCAGCCGTATCTAATTCTCGGATAAGGTAACTGTTAGTCGATCTGTTTTTTTTTAAAATTTAATAAAGCCTAATTAATCGCTCACATGTAAGATTAGTTAAACCACAATGTGTCAGACCGTTAAATGCGTATTGGTTTGTTTGTGGAAAGACAAACAGGCAATTGCGGCTTGTTTGAATTGGTATTTCCCTTAGCAACATGAAGTTGCTGACTAATCCCAGGGTCGACCTGACATTTAGACCGGCATTTGCGATAATACGCCTTTGATTGGTGCCACTGCTGGCGACAAGCAGGAAGAAGCTGCTAGGCAATTTGGATGGGCCCGTAAAGGTGGTGAGAGAAGCCGATAAACTGCGTTACCACTGGAGACGCTGATGTAGGAAGCAGATAACGTGTGCATTGTTTCTTGACCCCAGTAAACAGCATTGACCTTGACCAGGCCGATGTGCTTTGGCAGTTGTCCCAATTCGCATCCCCTTCCCATCTAAACTATCAGGAGTTTTCTGGTTTGTTAAAGCCTGTTTCATGCCGCACGCAATTTGCGTTTTAGCACCTGCAATTTCGGCGAAGTTTTGTTCAGCACAAATCTCTCGTAACCAATTCCCACCACTTATTGTTTGATCTTTTTTGGTAGGATTGTTTTGGGCTTTGTAGGAATAACTTAATTTGAAACCTGGCATTCCCTACGATGAGGTGATGAATTTTCAAGCCTTCCCCATCCACCTTCACTCTAAGATCGGGATTACTTGAATGCTATTGATGCGTCAGTTGATCCCTTTTGTTTGTTTTTCACTTGTCCTTTCAGAAAATTTCAAGAGTATCATGTCGTCTGAAACTAGACAAAAGTCAGTCATCTGATTATGGACAGTTCTCAAGGGTTTCATTGGTATCTTTAAATTCCGATTATGTGGCTATTTGCAGTGTTAAATTTTAGCCTAACCTTAGGAAACTGGCTGTCTTCAAGGGTAACACATTTGTTCATCTGCTTTTTGGGGCTACGTGAATCTGATTCGCATTGTGAGAAATTTGGTTCTGAAATGCTAGCGATGACGGTAAGCGATGCTGCAATTATTGCGCGGACCAACGTATGGTGTCCGTGGCTCCCTCTTCTCAGTCTTCACTAATGTTTTCTTTACATCCAACTGATGAATTAATCGAGGACATTTCTAACTGCAATACCGTTTTCGTTCTACAGCGAGGGTTTAATATTTTTTTGGCTCGTGTCACTTAAATTCCATTCTATTGAACTGGAATGACAAGTTTCCAGGCATTTTGAAATTTTTTTAATAAATGCCTTGCGGCGATAAAGGCAGTTCATTCGGATTGACATTGTTTGAAATCGTATGAATAAATTTAAAAGCTTCAGTCCCTACACTTTGGCGTTTTCTCTTTTTCTGGTTTTTACCCGAAAGTTTCTGCCCTCTGAATTGTAGTCCTTGAAAGTCTAACTGGTTGAGCTGCGTTACCTTTATGCGAGGCAAGTATTTCCGTGTGGAAGGACTCGTCCAACAACATCACTACTAAGAGACGAATAGCCATCAGGCCGTTAAACGGTATCTTCGTCTAGTTAATAGGTAGCTTTTTCACACACAGAAGAAACACTAAAATAAAAATGCTGAGGAAGGACGAAGAAAAGAAGGTAATAAAATAACCAGGCTTTTGCAAGAGCAATCATGGCATACTAGGTGATAAGTGTACACATTAGTAGTGGTTTCCAGGTAACAGAACCAAAGTCCAATGACATGCCCGGTGAATTGCTGGGGATGTCAGCAATCCCCAAGACACATAAATCGACACAGTGACTTGGGGCTTCAATTTGACTCAACTCTGTTCACTTGATTACAACTTTGGTGCAGCGCCAGATCGTTATTCGCACCAACAACTCAACATTTAGTGCTGTTAACTCAAATCATCGATCTCACATCGCCCAGAGTTATGCAAGTCGGCACATCTGAGCATCCACATGACTTCCACTTTGGCACCATATTTTAGTCGATCTTTTGTTCCTTACGATGAAAACTTCCGCACAGGCTATAGTTTTCTTTTATTCCGAAAAGCCTCCGACGTGTCAGCTATTAGTTAGGGGATTTGCACCAACATACGAGAAAAACGCAACACGAATGGCCCTTTATCTAGTCTTAGACGTCTTTGCTGAGTAAAGTAGGGATTAACGGAAAAGGTCAGCAATGCTTTCGCTCGTAAACTTCGTGTTTAGACTTCTACCTGTCGTCGCAGGATTCTAATCACATTAATGATTAATGCAGCTTTTCAGGAAAAAAAACGATATTTTTCGACTTGGAACTAGCTGTGTTATTTAGGCAAAGAAGACGTGATTCATTGCGTCAACTTTTCCCCACTACAAAACGGTCCAAATTCTGAGGCTACATGTTGTGAAATTTTCACGCTCATTTCTATTCAATAAATCGGAAGCTAGTAAGTCCCGTTGTGCGTCGCAGAGACTATGCTAAGACAATTTTTACCAGGAAATATTTGGTTGCCTCGTTAATTCATCTACCCTGTTACCTTTTTTCTCAGTTTGATTAAGTACCAGTTGCATTGTAAATTTCAATGTGCCATAGGTTAAGTAACACAAACACGTGTATTTTCTGACAGCGAATGCTACATTGTTATTCTGTTGTGTCAGCCGACTCACGCTGTCAACTCCAAAAACACGCTGCTACATGTTTTTGGAGTTGACATGCCTAAAAAGGTCAAAGTACATCCACGTAACTAACCCACATACTCTACACTCCGATGTCATGAATGCAACACACTTTGGCGGACACAAACACGGTTTTTTGACTTGTCAAGTAATAACTTATCTCACATAGGTGCTAAAGAATGATATGTTGTCTTCACTTGGATACGCTTTCTAGCCGATTATGGAAAAAACCCTAAAATGATTGGATGTTTCACAGACCTACGACCTCCCAGACAGTAGAACACTCTTCAAAGACGCAACTGGGCTTACATTTTATGCAGCATAATAGATAAGTAGTTTCATCCTTCCCTGTTTGAAAAGGACATCTCTGGAAGGCCTTTTACTGGTTCGAGATCACAGGGAAGCACTGAGGTAAATGTTGGGCTGAGTAGCACACTTAGTTCTCATTGGGATAGGGAGCAGCGATTTGATTTACCTCCACGTCCTGCTTCACGCCAAATCGGAACGCGCACCTCCCTTCGGTTGTTATGACAACAGTCTTCGGCGTGCCATCCTCGACTTTGACATTGGTCAACTTCGGCGTCGACGAGGGCTGGCGTTTGTCGAGGTGGGCTTTGACGACCTCGCCAAGGTCTGCCTCGATGGACATGAGGAAGGCGTTGTTTCGCTTGCATTCCAGGCAGATGGCGCGAACTCGACCTCGCATCCGCGTGTCCACGGCAAACTGGCAAGTCATCCGCTGCTCAATTATGTTGACCTGAAGGAAACAAAAGTGCTGCCATTATTAAACCAGCAAGTAATGAAGCAGCTTTGAAGGTAACGGTGACAAATCAACACCCCAAAATCCCCCTATTGATCAGGAATGCTTGGCTAACTATTGCAGATTGCTGTGGGCCCCAGCATGTGGTCTTGAAGGAAAAAAAGAAGACCTAATTGGACGTAAACACAAACGTTCATTTCAGAGGTCAACCCAGTTGGTGTCGTGTCGTGTGTGGCGTTTGTGCGTGTTTTTATGCCTCAGATGTGTGAGTCATACACGCGCTAACATCAAAACCTAGGTGTGAAGACAATTTAGGATGAGGGCGGATTAGAGGATCCGCGTGGCTGGCGACATTCTGCGAAAAGGGGCACTCTGTGTCGGAGTCTGGAGTGACCGGATTAAGGAGTTTGAATAAACACGATTCACAACAAGAGCTTGTAAACCACTAACCATGATTAAGCCGAGGTAATTGTACTGGATTTCCAAAAAAATTACTTAGGTGCAATCAGATTAGCAAAAAATATGAAGCTTGTTGTGACACGTTTTGAAAGAGTAATATACTAATCCACTATGAAGTCAAGTTACCATGATGTTATGCAATAGGTGATAGCCGGTCACTTTTGGACCTAATTCCTGGCAAAATAGTCACTCTAAACAACCAAGCTTTCTACCCCTTTATCCATGTAACTAACCAAACTGTTTGAACCATGCCAAACAACTTGGGATTTTAAGTGCGATGACCACTGCGAGATCGGACAAGATTCGAAAATGCAGATGACATACCTCAACGTTGGCGGTGGACTTTGGCTGGACTTCCACGCGTGTGTCGATGCCCCAGGTCATTTCCTCTTCAAAGCACTGGTGAATTGTCTTGCTGAGGGAGATTTCCTTGGAAAAGCCAGCGTTTGCCTCGAGAACTTGGTTTGGAAGCTAGAATAAACCGAATTCTCGTGTGTAACAGGTTATCAATAGAGATTACTTGTTAGCTACAATTGTAGTGTTCTGCACAGATATCATCCTCACACGGAACTGTGTTTTTTTTTATCTAACTAGAGCAAAGTATGTGCTAACTAAACACTGTATTATCAACGCATGGAAAAGCTTGAAGATGCAAAAAAAAGTATCTTAGGCATACGCTCACATAAGCCAGCTTTCTGAGTGTAAACATAATGAACGCAAGTGAACATATTTTCACATTGGATTCTGCAAGTACTAAGTACCATTTAGAGAGTTTATCGTAGGCAAAAGCGTCGTTATCGGTATCGTCAGCGAACACTACACCAATGACTCGGTTATATAATCTTCGTCTGGCCTAAATAATGCAAAATTCACCTTTGCGGATCCCGTTTACTGAGTAACTGGACAATCAGACCCATTTTCTCCACGATCTGACGGTGTAGACCGACGCCGTCCACTCGGATTGGACTGAACGATGGCATAGTGACAGACAACGAATTTCATCATTAGCGCTTGAATATGCAGCAGTTACGTGGTCAGTACTTCCTCTTTGATGAGATGGATTGCATTTAGATACCAACATCGCTTGCAAGCAGTGCATTAGCGAATTACACCTGATGGCGGCAGGTATGCACTTGGTAGTATTTATTAACAAGCCAAACATTTGTTGTTTTATTTTAACCATCAAACTAAAGTTTTACAGAAGCCGAAACTGCCTGATCGACGCACATCACTGCCAGAATTTGAGATACTATTAAGTGACATAAATCATTCCTACTAACGAAGCCCTTACTACACCGAATAGAAGGACAACTATTACAGGCAGATTTTGTGGATGCCACACAAGCCGAATACGGATTTATAGTCATTCCGGAATTCGTAAATTCTTACAAATTCAACCAGTTGTCTTTAAGCATCGTTTTTCGCTGCATACCAGTATAGATGGGACTCACAACGGCAAGAGCAACGCATGGGGGCCATTTAAATCACACACAGACCCTCAATTCGGTACATTGGCGATGAGTAAAGTGTTGATTGCGCAGGTCGGTAATTTATTTCAGTTTTCTAACGTTGAGTGTTTGCACATACTTCGCCCACACAAATGCAAATTGGGTCTCAATTCAACCTTGATGCGTAGTTCCCTGAAATCGTGCATTTTAACTAATTTAATTGATAAAATCACACACAAGTACCTGCTTGTCCTTTCTAAACGTTACGTTTAAGAGAGTTTGGCGTTTGTGAATGCTATTTGACCTCAACAATACGTCAAAAGGCCTCGACTACTGTGTTACCATTTAAAATATCAAATACAAGCATATTTATGGGCGGTTGGGTAAAAAAATGTGTTACCACTGGCCAAGGATTTGAAATTTTATCAATTTCGACAATTGTATAACTAAATGACTCCACAATAGACGTTTTGTCTTGACCTTGACAAAAAGTCCTGTTAGACACACTAAGAGTGTCTGAGCGAGGCATTTTCACCACTACTGACACACCACTTGGATTGCTTCCATTGGTTACGATTGACCCGTCAGAGAATGAGTATGACTGAAGCCTGTTCACGCGATGATCTGATGTCAATGACTATTGATTGTAGTTAGCAACAGATTACAAGCCGTTAACATGTCGAGTTTCCTAAAAAGTCACGCGTTTGCGAGACGGGTGTTAGCAGCGCGCATGAGAAGTGGGTTCGACTCAAACCACGATGAGCATCCTTCTTCAGCCTAACAGACCGACCACCACCTTATGACTCTCTTCAGCCAGTTTAATTTAACGGTGAAATTGATAAAACTTAAATTCTGAGATAATTTTTGTATTTTAAAAGAAATTGCCAAGACTATGGCTTCTAGTAGGGCGATTCAACTAACTGCTACCCTGGAATGAAGCGCGCGTTGATCGCAAACACGACTGCAGCTAATTAGAGCCTGCTGCTTTCGCACAGTTAGGAAGGGAAGCGTTGGAAAAAAACTGTTAAACAAGTGCGAAGAAAGGGACAGCCAAGTCACTGAAAGCAGCAACAGCGCGTTAGCAGCACCGCACTGATTAATGTGTCTTCATACCTTATGTTCAAACTAGTTTGGGTAAAATACCTGTACATGCATTGTGAAATGTACCCGCCAACAGTCCCCATTTACTCGTCTATCGTCTGGAAAAAAGCCTGGTGTCTATTTGTTTGCCATTTTTTAGAAGTTAAGCACAAGAATTTCTACACTATGTACTGGTTATTCCTGGAACACGTAAATGAATTTGGCGATATGTTTACGTGTTGTCTAGTCTAGCGTAGGAGACCTAGGGATTATGGCGCGTTTGCGATGACACCCATTTAAATTCCTGGCATGTCTCTCCACAGAGATTAGAAGATTCAGGACTTACCAACAGCCTAATTAAGCAGCAAACGAGTTTACAAAACTGCATTCTTCTTTCGACTGCTTCAGAAACAAATTGCAGCTACTTAGTGAACTTTGGAATCTGTAAAAACAACGCCGTGAAGGAACTTACACCAGATACTCGAAAGAGGGAATGAAGCAAGATGATGATAGGTGTAAAAGCTCACCTGAAACTTGACGCCTAGTTCTCGATGAGCTGTGAAGCCTTTGGTGATTTCGATTTCTGCCGTGGAGCGTGTGGACCTGTCGGTGCGAAAGTTGTACTCCTGAACGCCGTCGGTTTTGTTTCGGTAGCTGGTGCTGAAGAGAGCGTGGCATTTTGGCAGCTGTACAGAATGGCTATCCGTGAAGGTGGGTGGTTCGCTCCAGCACACAACGTCATCCCAAATGACTTTGAATTCGATTTCGGTCACTTTCAGCTTCTTTTGCTTTTTGTCCGCTGCTGCGTAGAATGAGTTGATGGCCCAGGCTTTGACCACAGCGGTCAAGTCAAAAAGCTCCGCCTCTTTACGAGCAGCCGGCAACGTTGCCTCAGCCATGGAACTGGCATAACTAGTGCGTAGCGCGCGGACTGGGTTATAAAGTGCCCACCAATCAGAACACGCGCGTTTGCGCAATGACCGCGAATGTCGGCCAATCATGCACGAGAGGGATTTAACAAGGTCAAAAATGCAGGTATTTGGTGTCATTACGTTGTGTTGGGTGTTACAGGCACATAAGGGAGTTACACCCATCTAGAATACGGAAATAAAGTCATCAAAGTATGGACATTGAGTCAGTTTTGTAAAGGAGGAAACGTGATGCAAATTAGTGTACTTACAACACTAGAGTACATTGTATTGTACGCGCACTTGTTTAGCTATCTGCATCTGGAAATTGACTGAGCTGGGACAGGACTATGACACAAAGTGGACCATGTGGCTAGTAACTAAGGATTTCTATTTAGAAACTTATCGGCCAGTGAGATTGCACACAAGGCCATTTGGTGTAGGCTAGCTGAGGCACGGGTTACCCTCACCTCGTGTCAAAGATCAACCAGGTTTCAGTCCACATTTACCTCGGAATTTCGCTTTACGCAAGGCATGCTTCCGATTAGAATGAACGAGATCTGCAAAATTAATCAGTGATAATAAGGCTAACGACAAGAATGGGAAAAACATCAACACCAAACCAGGAAGATCTGGTCATTATTTTTTAACCCATTTCAACTCGGCCATTACAAAAAGGACACCATGTTTATTTTTAAATTTTTTACTCACAGTATTTCAAAGCTGTTACCTTTGCCCGTAACCAAGAGAAACCACCTAGATCTCTTGTTGACGCTAGAATTGACCATCTCACGCCAGTGCAAGACAGGACCAGACATCGTGCGGAGAGTTTTAATTAAGTCAGCAAAAGCGTGTCTGATTTGTCAGAATGTCAATCTTGACCTGATGGGTTATCAGTAGGACGCCGTGGGTGATTCACCCACTGATGTGGCGTGATTAGGGGATTAGTGTAACCAACGGTGAAGAGCCATCTTGTGAGAATCCTGGATCCCCAACAAAGGTAAGATTCTCACTGCCTCAGACAAAATTCTATTTCTTCTGTTTGTTACTTTGAAACGGGGACTGAGATTCACTTCCACTTATCCCATAGATATAACAATCCACAAACCAGCCTGTCACATGTGAAAGCGTGCATTGCATATTTGAAGTTATCTGTTGCAGACGCGCTTAAACTAAACATGCGATTACCAACCAAGTATCAGTCATTTCAAATTTTCACTTTCTGAAGGCCGTCTGTTAAGCTGTGCGCACAAGATAGTTGACACACGAACAGAGTACTATTCTTAATAACTATCAACAAGAAGTTTTGAGGTGTTTAAGAGAACGGACAAGATTTTGTGTACGTGGGGCTCATCAGACTGGTCTGTTGTGAATCGTGTTTTTTCACACCCCGTAAACCGGTTGCTCCACCCCCGACACAGGCTTCCCCTTTTCGCAGCATGTCAGCAGCCGCGCGGATCCTCAACTCTCCCCTCATACACATAGATATTTATCTTGGATCATCCTCACACCTAGGTCTCGACGTTAGACCATGTATGATTCACACAGCCAAGGTGTAAATACACACGCGCAAATCCCAAACACGACACAACGACACTATCGTGGTTGGGCTCCGAAATAAACGGTTGTGTCCACGTCCTCTCCTATATTTTGCTTCATCGTGGGTATCAGGGAAACGTAATCGGACCAGGGTTAATTGCGTGGCTCCGGTGTGGTTCAAGACCACATGCTGGGGCCCACAACAGGTCCGAATTGGTTGTTGTTTTTGACCGAGTTGGTCTAGCGTGTGTCTTCATGGCATCAGCAGCAGGCTAGGAGAGATGATTAGCTCTGATAACCCTCGGTCTTTTAGTCCCTTAAGGAACACAAATCGAGTCACAACCGTTCTGGACACTAACCCGACTTCTGGAAATTAACCGCGTTCCCCGACCGATGCCGTTTTAGGTGCTGTGCTGAAATTCCAGGGCAATTTTTCCGTACGTCGTCAAATAACTAAGGCCAAACCGCATCAACTACGTCGGAACAATAGCAAACTTCAACACAGCGAGGTTTATTCGCTGATCGCAGCTTCCAACACTCAGTAAACTCTGTCCTAATGCTTATTGGTCATAATGCAAAATCGACCCTAAAGGGACCTCTTGGAGTTCGAGAAGGGGAAAATGGAAAACAAAGACCAGGAATTTTATCTGAAATCAGTCATAGTAAATGCGGTTAAATAATGGCTCAATGTGCTTCATGTAGAATGCGGGATACTTTCGCATCTGTGCCGAAATGAGGAACCCTGATATGGTCCAGTGTTATCTGACCAATGAATACGCATGAACTGCCTCGACTCAAACATCTGGTCTCAGCAGAATGGTAAAGAGGCAAGGCCTCCTCTTCCATCAATCATTTAATGGTTACTTGGTGTCAGATCATGCCGCATCGGCATTAATAAATTACTTATAGCGGTATAAAAGGAAATAACGATTAAGGGCAAATAGAATATAAGCAAGTTTCTGGCAAATTCTGATTCGTTATAACTTTATTCACGTGTTTTTATCACCGGTACCTCGTCACGAAGTCAAAATTAACGTTTCAAAATTGGTTGCACTTCTCCAAAATACCGCAAAAGTTACCGGAACATATAGCATACAAAGAACTTTAACTTAAAATATGTAATTCATAGGTATTCATGTTGAGGTTTTGCAATGATAATGCATAACGCAAAATTTGTGACTGGAAGGATCTCTGTGTAGTCCATAGTAATGTTATTATAACTTCTTTGCTCTAATTAGGCCCCTGAAATCCAGTTCTCTGCTTCCGAATTTCTTTCGAAGTCCGTTTCATCACAATCAAGCGATAAGCAAACAAGTCTGGCTCTGAATCGAATAGCGTATTAGGTTCCATGCATCTATATTTTTAAAATCGTATACAATGTACCTCTTAGTCTTATTTTTCAAAAGCTTTAAACATTACTTTTGAAAGGCAATTTTTTTAACAGTTATGCGGTCTACTTTTTAAAATGGTCTCTGGACCCAGGTTTGGTAAAAACGCAGTACTGCTGACTTAAATAGTAGACAGAGTAATATTAAATTCCACAACGAACATTTAGACTTGAAGGCAGACTGAACATTGTTCGTAGCTAGTCTAAATTTCTAACTGGTCCCTAAATTGAGGCAGCACGATCCAAGTAATGGTTTGGGCATTTGTGAGCCTGGTACCAATAATAGATGCCGATTTCTATCTAGGTATTACGTCATAAATGCCCACTACTTCACTGTCTCCATTACCTCAAAATTTGAGTAAACATAATCTGAGTGCAATAGCCAATAACCCTGTACATTGTTGACCTAGTTAAAAATTGAAATTTATTTCATAGCCCAAAGCCCACCCAAACAGTGAAAAGGTGGTTGCTTTAATGTAAGATGTGCAAAAAATGAAGTCGACTGACTCAAAACTTTTGGCTTCTAGCTACGTATGCCGTTTTCTGTTGTTGATGCAGAAACACAACTGTTAGATTGACAGAGTGATCTGATGTGGTCGCAAGTAAACTTAAATGCTCTCCCGATTTTCGGACATTTTAACCACAACCTTTCAAAAGTCGAACATAATTTTCTTATTTAGGTGGCATTGCACGTGATATACTCAGCTTAGTATTTTTTTTGTAAAATTCTGTATTACGCCAGATCCACCCTATCGAAAACACGTGTAGTGCATAAATTACAAAATATTCCTAACTTTAGCTAACTGTAAACAGTTATATCACTCATGTAGGCAAGTTCTTAGGTTTAGAGTGGTTGACATCTTCTGAGGGAAGCGAACCTCGTGCATTACTTCATAATGCTTGGGTCACAAACGCTTAGAATGATTTTAACTACTAAAACGAAGTTTAGTCATTTATGAAATACGAAAAGGGGCCTTGTATTTAGGGCCCTTGAGACCGCAATAAATCGGATTTGAAGCCATGGGTTACGAAGCTATCAACATTCATCATATCGAAGCGTCGATTTTCAATTTAGTCACATGCTATTTTCCGTTATATTTATTCCTATACATCTCAAGATACCTTTGAACTCCAAAGAAACGGGCACTACATTACGTCAAAAGAACACTCAATATATTTATTTGCATAGACTAAAGCGATGTATACTTACATTTACAATAATCCTGATGTGAATCGATGTTAAGCACACAATCTAAGTGCAGTTTTAAATTTACTGAAGGAGTGGAATCATTAAACGGATAGTTAATATATTAATCAAGCAAAATTATTAGTAAAAATAGTCCGCAGACATTTAATATTCGTGGTAAACACACCTATATCGTGTCACAGCATAGACTGTTATTTAGTAAAGATTGCTAGTGTCAATAAATAGCGAATTTATTTGCAACATCGATAAATGATATAATGCAGCCTGTTTAGTCTTCTAACCCTTTTGCTGGTTAATTAATGTACCGTGTCATTCAAATCGAAATCCACTCCTTTATATTTGAAAAAAATATATATTTCACAAATTAAATTCTATACTTAAGTAACAGTAAATTTAAATTAGCATTTTTGTAAATGAGTGACAAGTGGTGAAGTTCATTTTAATGATATTTTCATTTCGTGCGTTTTGTGAATCGGTCAAATTCAACCAATCACTAATTTGTGCGTAGTTATAGCCGTTGTGCACATTCGGTGTCGGTTTCACGTGTCAGACGATTTAAGATGGGACTTCCACGTAAAAAAGACAGTGTTAACAAGGGAAATCATTCTCTCAACCCAGGTATTTTGCACACTTTATTGGGTAACACTCCTTAGATCGAGGTAAACAAGAGAAGGGTTCCACAATGCGGACCAAAAGTACAATCAAGCGCCTTAATATGTATCGAAATTTCAAAGCTAAACGGTATGTAATCAATTTTATTTACGAGAAAAAAGTGATAAAAAGGGTCATATAATTCGAGCTGCTCCGTTCCAATCAGCTGTAGCTTCAGGCACTGTTTCTCGCGTGGAACCCAATCGGCGTTGGTTTGGTAAATCATACTGAAAAATTTAAAATTCGAAGGCAATACAAGAGTTATTTCGCAAGATGCTTTGCAGTCGTTTAAGGAGGCAATGAAAATTAAAAACCCTTATGAAATTATGCTACGTCAGACTCGATTACCCGTCTCCCTACTCGATGAAAAGAAAGTGGTTTGTACATAATTATTTCCTCTAAAAAGCCGTTAGAAAAAGAAAGCGGACATTTTAGCAGCAGAAGGTTTTCAAGATGTGTTTGGAAAGAAAGCTAAACGAAAGCGACCACGTCTAAGTTATGAAGACTTGTCTGTGAGTGTGAATTTGATTTAATTTAAGTGTATTTGTTGCTCGTTTTACATCATCTTTTGTTTCTAGTCATTTGCTCGAGAGGCAGAGGCAAGTCGTCATAGCTACTCCAAAGAAAAAGATAGTAGCCTACTTCGCGATGATGTTGGATTCCGAGAAATGACTAGCGATCCCCATTTTAAAGCGGGAAGCTCTAAACGGTTGTGGAATGAGCTATTTAAGGTGACTTGCATTTTTCACTTTTCACCATAAATATCCGTTAAAGCGTATCTAACCGATGTGCTTCAATTAGGTGCTTGACTCCTCTGATGTCGTTCTTTACGTTTTGGATGCTCGAGATCCAATGGGAACTCGTTCCAAGTACATTGAACAGTATATGAAGAAGGAGAAACCCAACAAACACTTTATCTTCGTAATTAACAAAGTGGATCTCGTTCCCGTTTGGATAACTGTGAGTCCTTTAGACATTTTAATGATTCAATTTAAGGGAGAATCTTACATCTACGTTCATTGTAGAAACGATGGAAGACGATACTCTCCTCAGAGTACCCAACACTGGTTTTTTACGCAAATTTAACAAAACCTCTGGGCAAAGCTGCTTTGATGAGTTTGCTCCGTCAGTTATCTGCATTTCATGCAAAAGATCGCCATCAAATCAGCGTAGGCATTATCGGTTACCCAAACGTTGGCAAGTCCAGCATTATCAATGCGTTACGGTAGGTGCTCCCGATACCTACCCGCACTTACCTCCCACTGACCTATCACCTTATTGTATGTATTCTTCGAATTTAGGTCCAAGAAAGTGTGCAAGGTTGCTCCAGTAGCTGGTGAGACGAAGGTGTGGCAGTACGTGACGTTACTCAAGTCAATTTACCTTATCGATTGCCCTGGTGTCGTTTACCCTGAAGGTGATACAGAGGCTGAAATGGTGATGAAAGGTGTTGTAAGTTAACCGCTACATCCCAAAATGGATGATTTTTATGGCCTCATTTCAGCATTATTAATTAGGCAGATGTCTTTTGGAACTATGACATTGGTAATATTTGGTATTGTCAGTTGTGATAATTTTGACGATTCAGAGGCGCTGGGTTTTACTTGGATTTCAATATTAGCACATATCCCGCACTAATTGAATCTTATTCTTCACTTTCTCGTGTTTAAAGTGCTTATTTAATCGTAAATATGGCAAATTATGTCACATTATTCTTAAAGCCAGCTGTATCCTACCCTTTGCACGACTGGCTTTGATTGCGTGCACCGCATACACTTTCCATTTCTCAAATGTGGACTACTTGAAGTAAGAATCAATTGTTGGTGTTGACATCAGTAACTTTTTTTACAGGTTCGCGTCGAATACCTTCAAAAACCAGAGCTCTACATACCCGAGATATTAGCTCGTGTAAAACCGGAGTTCATACAACAGCGGTACGGACTGCCCGACTTTGATCCCACCTGTCACCCCCTATCCACAGAATCGATGACCGGGGAAAAGGTCGAAATCCAGGCATCTACCGAGGCGGTCGAAGCGATTGAGTATCCGCCAAATGCCAAGTGGCCAGTTAATGCTGATCTGTTCCTGGAGCTAGTCTCGAAAAAGACGGGCAAACTGCTCAAGGTCAGATCGCCGTTTGTGTCGCGTTTTTTCTTGATTTGGAGTTTGTGGCTCCTGTTTTCTGCCCAAATGCACATTTTAAGTTCGATTTCCGACATCATTTGGCGTGTTTACTTCTCATTAAATTTTCAGTACATTTTTTTAAAAAGCAGTTCTGATACCATGGCATAGCAAAACAATATTCCCAACAATATTTAATTGATGTCTGGTTGGGTGGTTGTCCATATCGTCATTAGTTTGTTAGGGATCTTCCACAGTTATCTTGAGTAATTTGCACTTTTTGCCTCCACTTAATCACCGAAGCGCGTGTTCGCCCGTGGAATTATCAGGGATGTGTGTGTATGCAAGCCTTTCTCAACAACTTGTCATGTTTTCTTAACAAAGCATCTCTTTTTGGAAAAGCGGTATCATTTAAATTCTTAGTATACCTTCCAAGTACTCCTCCTTTAGGGCGGTGAACCGGACATCATAGCTACATCAAAACGAGTGCTGAACGACTTTCAGCGCGGGAAGTTGCCATACTTTGTGAAACCTCCTGCCCTGGAAGCAGACGAGAGTGCCTCGGAGGCGAACACGACGTCCAAGTTAGACGCACCACCAGAAGAAGAGGCTCTGGAACAGGTTGGTTTGCAGCAGTTAAAATTCCGCCTTTCAGTAGTCGCTTTGCGCCTTGGCTTGTGTGCGGAGGGTAATTTAACTCTTAAAACCTGCCAACCGAAACGCTCTCTTAGTTCCACTAGCTTTTCAGCGTAGCGGAAGCGTTAATTTTACCAGTTCACCAGGTGCACTGTTGGAGGCCCCGGCTTGTAATCTAAAACCACGGTGGGGCCAGTGAGTTCAATCGGGCCCGGCTACGCTACCATGCTAGCCGCGATAACGAAGAAGACCGGAAAGGACGTGGACACAAGCCTTCAGACCTCAACCAAGTTAATGTGTGCCGTTTTCGCGTGTGTATTTATAGCCCAGATGTGTGTAAGAGCTTGAGTCATAAATGTGCAAACATCGAGACCTAGGTAAGAGTTATCGTGTGTGGCGATAACTCAGGATGCTCGCTCGTGATAATGAGGCGTGAGGTAATGAGGTTCCGCTCGGCTGACAGCATGCTGTGAAAAGGTGGGCAGTGTGTCGAAGAATGGAGGAACCGGATTAACGAGTGTGAATCAACGCGATTCACAACAAGACGTTATTATCTAGGAGCATGGATGATTGGGCTTGTGCTTTATAATTACTCAGGTTCTCCCAACTTGACTCACTACGTGTTCCAGGAAATAACTGCTATCTAACATGCCCTACAGCTCCGGGATCTGATGGTTTCGTTATATTCTTTAAAGCCGACATCCAGAGTTTGTCCACTTAATTCCAACAGCATGTTCCTCGTGTTTGGACGTGCATGAAGTCGGAACCATGTGCCTTTCTCCCTGATCTTAAGCTCTGCTTCACACACCCCAGTAACCGATTCGTTTTGCTAAAGTTAAAGCGCCACACGCAACTCATGTCCATAGGATTTGGTTTGCATCGTAAAAGTCATAAAATTCAATACCACCATGACGGTAATCTGCACTAACCAGATGCACTTGACTTTGACTACGGACGTGGACCTTGCTTGTCTCTTCAGCAGAGCTGTCGTGCAGAGCTAACCCCGTGGTTAATGCAAGCTTTACAAAGGGAGACTGTATACGCACAAGCAGAAATGACTAAGGAACAGCAATCGATCCATCCATGGTGGTATTTGCGTTGTCGAGGCACAGGGTGTGCTACACCACACACCTCGCCCAAGTTCGCCTCGCTCTAGCTTACGTTTCTTGTGCTTTTAGGCATTCACAGACGCTCTCGGGGCAGAGCCGGAGAATGAGAACGAAGCTGAAAATTCTGGTGATGATGTGAGTTTCTTACTGTCTGCTTTAACTGGCTCGCCGGGTTATTTCAATATGTCAATCGCGAAATTGCCAGTGCTTTTTGTGTGCAACCTTCCTTGGTAAAACCATCTTTCATCACTAATGCTCGTAACCTCATCAACTGACAAGAGGCGTAATTATGGCACCACATGTGTGTTTACTCACTTAATGACACTTGAAGGCCATTGGTCTCCCGCTAACGCTGTGGAATTCTGTTCCGTTTTGCGGTTGGCGTCGTTGTTACTATCTTGCGTCAGGGCTGTCAACAGGCCTGTCGAAGTCGATATCCTGTCCGGTGCCTGAGGCGTTTAATCTTGATGCTTTTTCAACTACATAGTTAGCTACATAGCAATACAAGTTCTGTCAGAGGTCCAAGATTTTACCTTAAGCCTGATCAAGCAGTTCCACAAAGGGACACAGGGTTGTAGCTAAATACATTTAGGATAAGGAATGCTTCCTTAGACCTAGTCAAGGTCTTTTTCAGTGCTGTGCATTTCCAAGAACCTCAAATTCCCGTATGTCGACAACTTAATGTCATTACATCATGTCGAATGGTGTCCCTCTACCTGTTCTCGAGTAATGCGGATATTTACACTAAAATTCTGAAAAAAGCGGGACAATCAATCAAATCCTCTCCCCTTAGAATCCAAAAGAAGAGGAGGAGGAGGAGGGCAGTGGCATCGATTTGGCACCAAACGCCGAAGATGAAGCGGAGATTCGGGCGAAAGAAGAGCAAGCAAAAGCCGCTAACTCTGGTTTGTCAGCCTCTCGTCAAAGACAGTTGGAGCGTGCTCTGCGAAGGAAAGCTGGGCGTGCAGGTCGACACTACTACGAAGAGGTCAACGTGAAAAACAAGCATAGAACGTTTAAAGGCGCCAAGAAGACCAAGTAGTGCGTTTGTAAATAAAATGCTGCGTGCCACGCTGGCTATGCCTTTTGTCCATTTCGAGTTATTAGGCTGGCGAGACGCTAACATGGCAGTAAGGCCTACTCCTTACGTACACCGCATTTTGTAACCATCACAACGCACCCCCAATTCACTAAATTACTGATCTCTGGACCCGCAGCGGAGGCATATGTGTATATGGGTTGGGGTCCCTACGTGGTGAACCATGGTTATGTAACACCCAACGCGTCCAGAGTACTGGATTCGCTCAACTGCCCACCAGATCTTCAGATGCACAGGTTTTTTGGAATGATCTGGCAACGTCTTTCCAGATGGCTGTTTTAACACTTGTGATCGTCATTAGTTTTACCTGTTGTGCGAGGCTTGTTGTCGCAAATTGGTTATAAACGTGCAATTGCAGTGCATCAGACCTCCTTGAAGTAGCGCCAATGGTCGAAATGTTTATATGACTACGCATTTCTAAATTATACAATGGTACGAAAAGGCGTTATCAGCAGCGCCTTGTTAAGCACTCCTACCACACAAATTCCTGCCATCGACTCAGCTTCGTCAAGGAACTCAAGCCCCACAAACTTTGTTCTTAAGAGTTAATGGGGTACCGTCTCACGGCACGCTGGCAATTGGGCTACTTACACCAACCCAGCTTTGTATGTTTTTTTGCCACAAGTGGTACATACTTCCCAAAGCAGTCCGGCGGATTTAACCAAAATTAAAATTGCTTTAGACCTATCGTTGTTTTCTTCAGCTTGTACGTACATTAAATTTGCTGGACGACGCCGAAGAGTATCCCACCGCCACTAAGTACCACATGAAATTAGTACCAACCCACGTGAAAAGCCATAGCGACGCCGGGGAAATCAGCGAGGCAACAGCGTTAATTTCAACGTTCGGCCAGATGGCCTATTTCTAGCGTGATACAGAATCCAAAAAGAACAAAGTGCCCCAAGTCCTAGGGTTCCCACATCCGCAAAACGTAAACGTCGTGAGCCAAGTGCCTCCTAGTTTGACGGTCCGCCTTTTGTTTCACTGTGATTGTCGTATGACAATTCAGGACACGACCCCAAATGTATCCGTTTTCTGGGTCACAGAAAACGACAACACAAAATGATAAAGTGAATCACGGATGGCATTGAGATTCCGTCGATAGCCTCTAAAACACTATGCTGAATGCCAGAGGAACTCGCAAACGAAGACAGAAGTTCTCACTAGCTATCATTAAAGGGTTTTGATAAGCACCTACTAAATAAGTAAATGCTTATTTAAACTGAAAAATATCCGAAGAGCATACAGTCGAGAAAGTAATGTAAATATTTTAAAGCGTGTTAAGAAGGTTGCGATGCAGCGGATTTAACAGACGACGTTGCCAAAAATCGAGTGAGACTAAAAGGCTAAACTTGTAAACTGTTCCATGGATCAATCATCACACTTAAAATAGAAGGAAGGTCAGACTTAGCGATTCAATAGCGCGGTAAATACGTCCAAAGTGGTTTTTCAGGAAGGGGTCTATTCTAGGAGACGTCTCCAGGCAACAAACAAATGGAGCCATGACTTTCGACACTGACTCAATGGATAAGCAACTTAAACTGTGTCGTCATCTATACTATCTGATTCATCAAAACGTCCACAAAAAGAAGCACTCAGAAGGTCATGACCAAAATACATGGCTTTCTTTAACTGGAGGTAGGGACAAGTAATGATGCCAAAAAGTAGATAATTTACAGAAAATGGTACCGGTACATGGGAAAGTTATTTAGAAATCTTGTTTTTGCCGGTGCCGAGTGGACCCTTCTGAGCAATTTGCTTAGCAGCGGCAAGTTTCTTCTGCTCTTCTCTTTGCTTCTGCTTAAGAGCAAGATCCTCCTCATCCATTTCCTTTGCTTGCTTCTTAGGTTGTTTTAATGGTTTCTTTTTTCCTCCTTCGCGATTCATGTTTAGGTAGACGTAACCTCGAGACAGGGAAACAACCACCGAGTAATTAGCTTTGAAATTGGAGCAAGCAAGGTGCGATACACTTTAACAAAGCTATTCTCATTGCGTTAAAAAAAAACAAAAATTAAAAAAACAATGAAATGAAATTAAATAAAATTAGCATTTTAAGCACACTTTTAAGGGAATCCCATCCGTGCCCCTTAAGTTCATAAACTAATCATACTCGAAGCAAGAGCGAATGGAATTAACATAACTTGAACCAGAGTCAACACCGTTGTCATTAGAACCACGCCGAAGTCATTGTGTCTTGATCAAAGTGATGGTTTAAGCAACCAGGTAAATGTTTAATTGGGCAAAATTTACCCAACTTTATTTATATTAGAACATGGACATGGTGCATCTTTCGAAGGCTTGGCAGCAGAAGAGTGTAATATTATTCAGTCCGTATTTGGCATCAAATGGAATAAAATCAAGCACATTTCGTTACTAGGACAAACTTAATCCACTGAGCATACTCAAAATGCAAATTTTCGCAATCAGTACATACATAAGGAAGTTTCTTGAGCTCAAAATTCCACGTTGTCGGATTTTTCTTGCCGCATACCGGATTTGTGTTTTTGCTTGCCAAAGGGATTCGATTCTCACAAGAACAGCGTGTTCAACTTTACACTATAACCACAAAAGCAAAACGTTAGTACCAAAATATGCTAGGTTTGAGGTTCTGGGCCAGGCAACTACACAGTTTTTGAGAATAGGAGTCATGATCGATATTCGGTGGTATATTTTGACTGACTAGCCTTGTGTGCGCGTGTGTGTGTGCATGTAGAAAAACCCAAATTAGCAGGCTTCTCCCATACTCATTTTTTTACGAAAATTAGTTAGTTTCGTTGAGAAAATAATGATTTATCCTTTATTTTTTTATACAAACGTAAGTTGCTGAGTGAACGGAATAACGCATAAAATAGACATGAAACACCTCCGGTAGGTAAGGTGGTGTGGGACTGTGAGCATGCACTCGCAGCCACAGGGATTTTGTCTTGCATTAATTTTTAATCGGGATTACACTTAGATATCTCGTGCACCTCAAAAGCAATTGGATAGCCATCCCTCTTGGATAGCCATCCCTCTTGTTTCTGGCTAAAATTATTTCTGCATCTGCTAAGATCTACTTGGTTAGTTTTGTCAAATTCAAATGTTACCTTATTCACCAAAACCACTCCAAAATCACCTAACATGCTAGAAATCTAAAAATTTATTTCAAGGATTAAAAACATGGCAAAACTCACTTGTATTTAATAAGCACCTCAATTTTACCATGTGATTCATTTTTCCACTGCCCATTGTGCTCAAAATCTTTCGAACTAAGTAAAAATTATGGTCTGCGTTTACTACACAAGATGTTTGCGTCCTGTTATGGAAAAAAATTTAGGAACCACCATTATTCTGTGCGGCCGGTTTTGGAACAGCGAATTCTTGCTTAAAGTGGGTCGAGAATAGGATCGGTTAACGTCTACAATATTGTGTTCGAGAAAAATTTGTATTCTGGTACTGATCAAAATCAAAACTGTCACTAAATCACAAAGGCGGTGTAGAATTTTTAGGTAGAAAGTGACAACTGCGTTTAATTTTGCAAAATTAAGCAATGAAATTAATTAAAACTCCCCGAGTCGTTGAATCAGAAGCTAACTTCTTCACATTACAGAGCACAAAATTAGTGACAAAACACTTCACTTAGGAAGTGATGAGGCAAAATGGATGCGTCACAAAGGGCTTATTCATTGGCATACGTGTAATACAGATGATGGATCATTTTATGCGGTACCTACTGCAAAACGACCTTGGCTCATTGAATAGGCAGATTAGTATTTTGTTTGTTACGGAGAGCTCACTTTCTTTTTCCTCATTCCTGTGACGGAATGTGTAAAAGAAAGTGAAAAATACCTTTTTTTTTACCAAGGTATTTTTGTGTAAAAATACCTTGCAATTTCTATAAAACGGTTCAGTTATTTTTATCGGTTTCGCAAAGCGGATTGTCCGATGCGTAATTTTTGATAGCACATTCCGCGATAAAATGTAACGATTTTAATTTATTTTTAAGAAGTTACGTCAACCTCTTTGCCCACCGATACCGTACATGCAGGCCTAATTAAGACCGCAAATTATTTCAAAATAGCAAGTACTCATACATTGTAAATCAAACCATGCAAGCTTTCTTCAATGTCGGTTTTAAGTCATTTTAAAAGAACAAAATCGAATAATCATTGATGGCCAAATTATGGCCTAGCTAAGGTCGTTGTAGATTTAAATATCTTGGGCAACATCAGGTATTTTTAATAATTCTTAAAACCCGTAGACAAAAAGAGCCTTATCAAGGTGTCTAGTTCATTTAAATGTGCTACTATTTTACATACAGAAAATCTGTACTGCAATGCCTTCTCGTTTTTAAATTATTGCGCCTTTTTTTCCAATTAACACTTCAGAAGCCAGACACGATAACTGCCTGACTGTTTACTACCAGCCACGTTTGGCGTAAACTGGCGCATTAAATCACCTATGGAACACCAGATGGAGTTTAAAATAGAGGGAACGGGTCTTCTGGCATCATGCACCACGAGGCTCATCGTGGGCGTTGTGAGAAGTCTAACATCTGTTTGAAGAATTCTCTAGAAAATAAAGGACTTTTCAGAAAAGTTCCTCTCTTCGCAGCTTTTGTGCTTTCCAAAAAAAAATAATCCCTTGTACTGTGCCGCAACTCATGAAAGTTTTTTAAAACCTTTCGATGATAGCAGTCAAACCTCGCTGTGACTATCGGACCTTAGGAAATTAGCTTTTTTCTATGGTAAATTGACTTGTAACAATGAGTGCAACATCCTCAGTAGGCATTTCCCAAGCTATGATATCCTAAAATCTCGATAATTTTGAAGTTCCGCTTTCTTCTGCTTTGAATTGGTTCGGTGAAAATGACTGGACAACTTGACAACCAGCACCAATAAGTTACAGTGACCAAGGTGGAATAAAAGACCCAACAGAGAAAGCTGCTGATTGTCAGTACTTCTATGTGATGTGTGCTCAGGAATGCATTTGAGTTCGTTTAGTGGATATCAATTTAGCCCCAAATATTTGCCTTTGGCAGTACCAGTTTGCAGAAACCGGTTTGTGGCAGGTCAGACCTGCCATAGAGACTTAACATAAATGGCCCACTTATGTTTAAGAGCACAGACCTTGATATCACCTCAGTAGCGAGAGAACTTTTTAAAATCAGCACCCACGCGGCTTTTGAGTTAGGATTTGTGCATGAAGACGTGACATGTTCTGGATTCAAAGTTTCACTCAAGGTGTTTTGCAATATCTAAAGCGTCTCCGCCAGTAACTAGTGGGTTTGAAAGGCTGCTTTACACTTTGCTGACCTCTACATAAGTCCTTTGATGTGAAAACAAAAATTAAAGTTGACTTCTCTACAAAAGAGACCTTGTGATATACATTTAGATTCTATGAAGTGATGAATCAAAGCAGGCGTTCAAAAGGCCCACGCCAGAATTCAGTGCTCACTGTCAATCCGAATTTTATCTAGGTAATCATGAGTGCAAACTTGACACACATTTGTCCAGCTGGTGCATGTGGTTCGTGGTTACGCTGATGCCAAACAAAGCAACACCTCCTGCGGGAAGCTTTTAATGTTTCAGCCAAAGGCCGTGTGATCTGCCATAATCCTGGCACTTATTTATGTCAAAGATGACCCTTATCAGATGGATCAAGGCCAATTAACACAGATGGAGCCGTTAGTAGGGTGCCGTGAGTGACTCGCCCACTTAATTGGAGTGAACACTTAAGTGGACGAGTAACGAGCTGCCTTGTGGAATGCCAAGCCCCCAACAATTATGTTCCTGAAAACCGGCATAATCAGGATGATGATGGATGGATGATTTAGAAGTCCTTTCACCATTCATTCGCCCAGTTTGTGAGCTGGGAGAAAAGAGTGAGCTTGTGGCACCTTAGAATTGGGTGATCGGAAGTAATCTACTTCTCTGCAGTTCAAATTGCTTGATAATTTTGCTAATTGAGTAACAGATGACAAAGGAGGTTAGCCACTTTACAAGTTCGACAGTGGCTTTCTAGATAAAAAC